AGTCAAATATCGCAAAAAAGCCATTTTTTTAAGTATTAAACCTCAATTATCTTGGAAATCTGACGTGTTAGAATTTTTTTCGCTTGCGGTATTGTTTTCAGCATCCAAAAATCTATAAGAGACACGTAATCCGGTCCAAAATAATTTTTTGTTGTAAACTAATGTAATTAAACATAAGTAAAGAGAGTTTACTTATTGTTAGTTTGTTTCTCGTGTATATGAGCTATATTTTTAATAATCCTCTTACGTAAAATTTAATTAATATAATGAGGAACGATTCTTTCTTCTCTTTCTTCCTCTTTATCTCTCTTCTTTCCTTTTTATCTACCTTCTCTCCCGACCTCACTCACTCTCTCTCTCTCTCTCTCTCTCTCTCTCTCTCTCTCTCTCTCTCTCTCTCTCTCTCTCTCTCTCTCGCTCTCTCTCTCCCTAAAGCGATAATTTTAATAATAATTATTAACCTTCAAATGGTACACTTTTTTCGAGCACCCACTAATGGAACAATGGTGCGAACTTGGATTTGATATATTAAATTGTACATCTTTCTTAAGAATAAAAACTGAAAAGAAATGTTTTGAAAACCCCTTTTCAACTTTTCAACTTTTTTGGGGTAAAATTTTCTTACAAATCCAGCAGTATTACTCAATTTAATGGAAAAACTATTTAACAATTAAAAGTTAATTATCTATTATAAATTTAATTAATTATTTATTATAAATAAATTATCGTTTTGAAAAACTTTTTCGAAGAAAAGCTGCCATTTTTTTTATTACATGAAATGAAGTGAAACTTGCGTGATTCTTTAGTTAAAATGATTTACGTTAATAAAAAATTATTGTTGTTGCAGAAACAGAAAGTAAAATATTTTTCCACATAGCCAGAAGTTGGGATATTTTCTATTCATTTAATAGTAATTTGAATCTTTCTAAAAATAATGTCAATGAAAATTAGATATTTTAAGAACAAAACTTGGCAATTTATTAAATGAATTATTAATACAAACCGTTTACATAATTAAAATTATATTAAAAAGTATTATTCATATTATCATGGAAGTTAAGACAGAGAAAACAGATGGAATAAGATTATTCATACAAATGTTTTATTGGTTATTATAATGTAAAAAAGAGAACATATTACAATGTTTATAACGTAATGTAAAAAAAGGAACGTATTACAATGTTTATAAATGTGTAAAACGCTAAAAGGCATCGATCTGGCCCACACTATTTGAATACAAATACGAATATGCACTACAACGAACTTGCGAAGTTAATATTTCGTTAATCTGCACGAAACTGAAGCTGTGCATGTTCGTATTTGTCACCTGAGATACCGGGCATATTTAACGTAGTGGGGATAAAGCCGCGACAAATGTCTGTACAAATGCCAGAAATTTGAAAATTTTTGCGGTGCGAATTCGCACTCTTGTATTATTTAAAGGTTAAAAATTATAATGTGTATTTTTTTCGATAAATGTGTGATAATTGTGATATTTTGATAGAAAATTAAAATATTTCTATAATGTATACATTTATCAATTTACATGAAGATTGATATAATAACTGTATATTTAACTATAAAGAATGAGATGTATTTATCATATTTTACAATTATCATCTATCATATTACATATTTAATATACATATATGTATATCACAAAAACAAAACATGTAAGAATAGCATACATCTCTACGCGGGATATATGTACTCAAATGGAAAATATTACAATAATAAATAATACACATAGTTACAAATTAAAATATGCCTAAAGTAAAAATCTATGCTAATCTGCTATGTTTCAGATTTAATATGTAATATGTAATACGTAATAGATTCATTATTCTAGTAAAGCAAAAGATTTTATCAAATATTAACGTAGATGCCTTTGAGAGCCAACACGGGTGTTGATGTGTAATAATTTACATACTACGATCGACGTGATCGAATAGGACGCCCGTCCGGCAAACTGGGAAATTCGAATTCGATAACTAGGAACTGAGATGATATTTTACGCAATAAATTCTTTACAGATTTAGGGAAAGGAGATTCTAATAGATACATATTAACATCAAAGAGATTAAATTGTTAGTCGATTTAATTTGTTACAAGTGATTCCTGCCTCATGTAATGAACTGTGTTTCAACCGACCGATGAATATGTGGCGCGCAGTTTGCATGTGGTTGGATAGTGTAAAAAAAATTATTACACACCAACATCTGTATTGGCTCCCATAGGCTTTTACATTAATATTTGATAAAATCTTTTGCTTTACTAGAATAATGAGTCTATTACGTATTACATATTACATATTAAATCTGAAATATAGCAGATTAGTATAGATTTTTACTTTAGGCATATTTTAATTTGTAACTATGTGTGTTATTTATTATTGTAATATTTTCCATTTAAGTACATACATCCCGCGTAGAGATGTATGCCTTAATATTTGATTGATTCTCGGGAGCCTATTTCTTTTAAATTATTTCAAAAGATTTTATTTTAAATTGAGAGTAAATATATATGATATAAATAACCAATTTCAGATATTTTTCAATAATTTTTTATAGTGAAAGATGATCTAACTAAATTAAATTAATTTGATTATCATACATTATATTATTTAATACATTTGCTTTACATTTTAATTGAATACGTTTTCTTTATTTATATATGTGTATATACTAATATATACATATACATATACAGGATGTCCCAAAAAGGTCGAGACCTCAAAATATCTCGTAAAATATAAGTTTTACAGGAAAGTGTTTCAGAAAAAAGTTGTAGAGTTTAAAAAAATCTGTTTACTGATTTTATTGGTTTGACCTTGGGTGGCGTCGCCAAGGTCATAGGTAAAAGTTACCTTAATTTTTTAAATAGAACACCCTATTTTTGATTCCAGAATCTAATGACTGGTGTCAAGAGTTTTGCAAAGCTATAATGAAGTATTTTTTTATTAAATTAATCCCAAGTTATGAAGCTTGAAAGTTACAGTACCGTCGATATTATCTTAAGTGTCCGAACAATGGTTAAAACTTTTTGAATGTTGTTCAGGATCAAGAGCTTGACCTATATAACTGTAATGAAATATGGCCAATTAATTTTGTCATAATACTGTTAAAAAGTAACATATTTTTTTAATCAATATTTTTAATACGAACAACGTTTAAGTTATGTCAAAATTACCATTTTAAGGCACATACT